AGGAGCCGAAGGAAACGAGTGAATTAAATAGTGATAATATTGAGATCAGAGCACCAGTCCTCTTGGAAGAATATATAGAGACTCCAATTTTAGGTTCATTTACTTCAAATTGATGTTTTATCAATATTTTGTACTCGATAAAATACATTTATATTATTTCTTGACTTACATGGCGAAGTGCCGTTGTTACTGCACTTAATTATAAACCATATATAGATGCCATTAAAAAATTTAACTCATCCCGCCTCTTTATTAACTATGGAATTAGAGTTCATCTGAAAGTACTATTAAATAACTAAAAGCGCTTCTATAAAAAGAGTAATGTTAGAGAGATAAAAAAATTTAAACCAAACTCGTAAACCGAATAATGTGGTTGTAGATGATTGGATGATTGATTAAAGTGTCGATTAATGTGCTTATTTTTTTATTAGTGACACATCATTTGTTTAAAAATTTGATATCCCTAGCATTATCCTTATAAAAAATGTTTTTTGTTCCAAAAGCACTTGAAATAATTGGTGTGCTTCTTGTAAGAAGGACTTCAAATGTTTTTCCAAATTAACTTATATTTTTACTAGGTTTCCAAAAACATTTTCTTTAAAAACTTTTCAGTTATTCTAGGCTTCTAGACCAACATGTTTTATCTAAGGTGAAAGTTGCAACTTAAATTTGATCGACACTCAGTTTTCATCAATACTTTCCCTTCAAAGTTTTATCTAGTCGTCGGTTAATTGTTGTTTGAAGGTATAAATAACCTTAGAAGTTCATATTTTAGGTTTAAATGTTCGAGTTAAAACTTCAAATTTGAACGAAAAACTATAATAGTGTTGTTGAGTAACTAGTGTCGACATCCACACGAAATACCGGAAATTAACGTCCCGAATAATCGCATATATGTTCTTGGAGTTGTGTGGTCGATCTTTTAAAATAACCAAAGCTGTTAGATCTTTTTTCTTCCTTGCCTTGATTTTTGGTTTCTTTCTTTGCTGGGAAACAATCTCTTCTTTCGGGATGGAGATAAGAAAGTCAAAAGGTTCATACCTGATTATTGCTTCCTATATTTGGAAGAGCATCACAGTGGAGCATGCTGTCCATCATTTCCATCTGGACCCTTAGATTAACAAGTGGGCCCCACCTAGCACTTACACAGTGTACGAATTGACCAATGACCGAAAACCCTAATCAAATGCAGAAGATGGTCATTTTAATTTCAGTGATTCTCACCGTAAATCTAGATATTTACACCAAAAGAGAAGCGTTAATAGTAACACACAAATGTACAGGTAGTGAATGTAATGAAAGATAAATAAAGGGTTCAGATCTACCAACTGTTTGAAAGTGTACGTGAAAGTGTTTTTTTCTGAAAGTGGTTGTTTATTATACAGAAAAACACCATTTGAGTGGAACTGTCAACTGTGATGGTCCGACTTTGTCCGAAAAATTTCACTTTTTATAGGACTGGGATCACCTCCGGACCCTCCTGCTGAGCAAACTGAGCAAAACATCATATCCTTCCATTTTTAATCTTGTTGTTAGAAATAAATTTAAATAGTGAAAATTCTCACGCAAAACAAGACAAGATGAAAATGAAAGGTTGGGATGCTTTCCTCAGTTTGCTCAGCAGGGGGGATCCAGAGGTGATCCCATTCCTTTTTTTTTAAGGCCAAAGCCCCCACAATCACATGACAGGTGTCAGAAATCTCACCAGAACCCCTCCCCCTCTGTCTCATTAATGACAGATACATTCCTTTCTTTTCCTGGCTGGTGGTGGGAATACGATGCCGTTGATCAGCCGGGGATGTGGGTGTGGCCTGCTGCCTGTGTCAATGGTCCAATCGGAGAGTCCTAGATAATGTAGCTAGTAAATATTTAGGGTTTTGGCTCCACATATGTGATATGATATGATTTAGCTAGGGTTTGTATTTTATTGTATGGTGGTAGTACAGCCTAACAAAACTCATCTTCTCTTCTCTTATTGCTTGGGAACGCGTTTCGAGATGGATCAGGTTTTCTGGTGCCTACCCTCCTGATTCATGTGCTGGAATTGCTATAACGAACAATATATATAATTACGACGCAGCCTGCGGCTTGTGATCATCATCAAGTCGAATGTAAAACCTATTATTTACCCTTTTAATTATGTCATACAGTAAATAATGCTCTTTTTTACAATCGAATACATGTTAACATTCCATTGTATTTGAAATAAGCTTATGGTTGACCATGAAACTAATTGGCAATATAACAATCAACGTAACTTTTTACAAGAACATATATAAAGAATGTTTTTTAATATATTGACGTCAAATTTACATTCTGACACACTAGTTCTTATGTGTGATATAATTTAAGTCTAACATATGGACAACAAATATTGAGTGACATGGGAGCACATACATATGCTGTTAAATTCAAAACATGAATTAACATCTCTGATATACCATGAAGTGCTACTGCTCATATTGCCAATTAATTTTATAACAAGACATCTTCTTCTTTAAAAAATACATTTTTAGAGCTTCACTCATTTGAGAGATGTATATTGATTTCTAGTTTAGAGTACAAAAAATGACAAAAATTGTTTCAGTACATCTATATCTATGTCAACAATGAAGTTGGACGGACTCGGCCACCAAAACTCGGGTGGGTTAACCCATCTAGACGGGATGTTAGGAAGTTTAGCTGCGCGTTCCAGGTTAGTGCCAATACCACATATGATCACTGCGATGGATAATCATATTACCGACGAGGATATATTAGGAAGAGTAGGAACTAAGTGAAACTGACTGATCAGTAGAACCATGAGAACCTGATAAAACCCTAAGTTAAAAATGGGTTCAACTAAATTTGGCAATGAACTAGCTAGTTAGGAGCTTGCTGGATACCATTTACTCAAGGAGCACGACATACTATATACCATAATCATTAACCTTTTATGCTTTAGATTAATCTGCCTCACTTCCTAAACCCTAGACCTCCCTTCACCATTACGTTGTGATCGAATAAAACAGAAGACTAATTGAGAACATGGAATTGATTTCGTCAAGATATATACTTTTCTATAATAAAAATACAATAAATATTGTTCAAAAGTTCAATATATAAGTATATATATAGGTGAATACAACTATATACTGTAGCAGATGAGATGAAATCTCTATCCCGGATTAATTAATACAATAAAATAAAAGCTGTTGGCATGAGACATGAATAAAGAGACAGGTTCTGTGTAAGAAGTTCGATTGGATAAAAAGAATCTAAAGAAGAGAGATCTTGCTGTTGGGTGGGGATTTTTTAACTTTGCATTATCACTGGTTGCACCACCTTATCTTCTTCCCCACATCAAACATTTATAATTTTTGTATACCTAGCTGGTCATATTTTAATAAGAATAATGTTGGAAAGATTAAATTTATAATTAAATTTGTAAATCAAATAATGTGTCATCAAATACGATAATGAGCACGTTAATCATACATTAAGTAATAATATAATAATTAACAACCACATAATTTAGTTTACAAAATTTGGTTTAAAAATTTAGTCTCCTTAACATTACCTTTTTAATAATACACCAAACCTAGCAAGCAAACACGTACATATTCTTAGAAATATACCCATTATTTTTCCTCTCACTGTGACGATATCATTTATCATTTCACCGTTCAAGCATTATAATCAGATCATTCATTTTCTTTATTATTATTGAAGATTATGTTTATAAAAAAAAATCATTAAATCTGAAGCCGTTTAGCCATCCATGTTCGTTTAACAAATCGAATCATGGTAGCAAATAACATCCTCGCTATGACCTGTCAACTTATTTAGTTTATATGAATGACTGGACATACTTCGAATTGAATGAGTTTTTGCAAAAGTTCTTAAAATTGTTTAAAAGAAAATAAATGATTTTGATTATAGTGTTTATAACCCAATAAAAATCAATTATGAATAACTCAAGACATAATAAGTCAAGCAGCGTCCAATAAATAATTTTTGTATCTTTCCAATTTCTTTATTTTGTTTTATTTTTTTTAATAAACAATATTATCTACAATAAGTAGAAGGGGGAGGGCTCTGTCTCACAATAAACTACAAATAATGTGATTCAAATTCATATTTGGCGATAATCAAACTGAGACCTCTCACTTATAAGTAAAAAGAAATACTACTAAATCGTAATATTAAATGGACACTTTCTTTTATTGTATTTACCTTCTTATTTACCTTCCCTCCGTTGGGAATCGCGAGCAGACTCTGTTGCAAAGAAAGAAGAAAAGATATAACTTCTTCCACATTACAAATTATTATAAATTTATACTTGATGAGAAATGGTCCCCTATTTGATCTTTTTCTCTCTCTGCATGATTTTCATCAATTTTTTCAGATAGGGTGGTGTATTGCAGTTGTTTCTGTTCGACCAATTAATTGGGCAAATCAGACAGTCAAAAAGCATCTCGTGCACTTGTTTGGGTTCGAAGTTTGTTGTTTTCGTTTTCAAGATGGTGGTCACTGCCACTCTCCTCTAATTTGAAGGGAAAAAATAGGGTTGTGGGAAAAGAAGAGAAGGCACTTTGGTCCAGCAGCAGACTTTACTGTTGTGTTGGTAAAAGGGTTTTGCTTATTTGGAGGTGTTTGCGTCATGATGGGTTTGGTGATCTCACAGGATGGTTTTTGTCTTAAACTGCAAGTATTGGGTTTTGTAGTGGGAATTCCTTCTAATTTATTTGGCTTCAAAGAACATGAATTATGATCATCATGATGATATCATTCTTCGCATTGCATTAATGACACATCCGTTAAATAAAGTTGTTACCTGTTCATTTTAACAAATTTAACAAAATATAATCCGTTTAGATATTAGTTATGTCAAGAAAACGAGACGAATGAGACAAGTACAACAAATCACCTGGCCTACTCCCTACAACCGCAAATTCACACGGGCCGACTTTAAATGGACCAGACTAATCGGCCCTGTTGACACCTTTACACATGGCAAAAACACAAAATACATGAATTTGATAGTTCATAGTAAATTCTACAAATATTTTAAAGTAATATGGCAAGAAAATAGGAATACGAACTAAAAATACGAAGAACAAAACAAAGCTGGTAAGTTGTCAGGTATTCAAGCTGCATTTCCATTTGAGACTCCTCCTTGATCGCCATCCAAAAGCTCATTTACACAGAACCGATGCAAGTTGTCATACATTTTTCTCCACTGCTGAGCCATTTGTGTGGCTCTTTCATTTTCGCGCTTCAGTCTCTCAATCTCCATTTCGGCCTGAGGCAGATCCTTGTTGCTGAAAATGAGGACCAGAAGTAAAGTTCGACGTCCATGAAGATATACCGTTCATTTCCAGTAGTTGAATAATTATGAAACATTATTAGTAGTTCTGTGCGTGGATACCCAGTGCCCACACGTACGCACCAACACACTACCGAAATGTCTATAATTACTGTCTTAAGAATATTTATGAAGCAATAAGAACGAACCTGAAGCTCTTTGATTTGCCTATTCATCACTTGTTCAGTGATGTACAATGGTTCTGTCAAATTACTGCAAGTAGCCGGGCCTCCAAGGAAAGCTCTAATGTCTCCGCCTTCCTCTGTTGTATACTTTTCCAGTGGAGGTGGTAATGATGAACCATGCCTTCTCGAGGACGCATACGAATTCATCTGAGAAAAATGCTGTCGAACGACTAGAATATTATTCACTGGACCTGCACAGTATAGTGCAAATTTTATGTAAATACTAAACAAATTAGTAAAGTTTGGCAGATTGAGAATAAACAACAGTCAAAGTCGAATATAAAATGTAAACTAATTTGCACTAGATTTGCTTCAATACCACCACCATATATGCAAAGCCCGGGGAAGATAATAAAATAAACAGTGGAACATTATCTACAGCAACCTTTGTTACAATAGGTTGGGTTAACTGTACATTAGAACAAGGTGAGGGGACGAAAGGTAAAGAAACAGAGATGGTGTATGCTCTAACAGATCCGTAGTTCATTAGAAAACACAATTGGTTACGAAATGGCACAAATACAGACAGTAGACACATTTAAAAGTCAAATTAAAATGAAACATATTTGAGATTATGGATGTTAGAAAGCAATAATACAAATAGCATTGAGATAACCTTTTGCATGTTTGAACACACGAACAATGTTATGAGTTCTAGCATCCCAAACTCGAACAACGCCATCTTCTGATCCAGAAAGCAAATAATTTCCAGTAATGCCATATGCTAGGCAAGTAACAGCTTTGCTGTTCAAAAGTCAAAGTATAAAGTTGTCAGTTAAAAGAGTTTTGCTGTCACAACAAAATGAAGAGTGCCGGGTTCTTAAAACGTGCAACAATCTTTGGCTGGTTACTTTGAAAAACGAAAAATACACAGTTAAATGTTAGAGATGTGTAGCTGAAGAAAACTCATCAGAATAACAAATAAAACTGCAAACTGGAATATCAGTAAGTTCACCAAAAGGTTCACTATCAGAAAAGAGAGAAACCTGTGATTCGAGAAACAATCGATGATATGCAACCCATACTTGCTGTTAAGTGGGCTCTCAGCATTAAGTGCAGCAACGTATATCTTGCCATCTCTACCACCGGCAAAGAAGACATTTTCACCAGGATCCAGTGCAATCGCATCAATTATAGTAGGGAAAACAATATTTCTCAATAATCTCCCACTTCCTACACTCCAAACCTAAGAAATGTACATCCAAATAAAAATCATAATACTAGATGGAGCAAAATGTCAAACACATGCGATTTCAAAAATGCATTGCTTTTTTGTTTATTGAGGATTAATAAGATTGCATCAGTAAATAATAGGCAAAAGACATCTAGTACACATTGAGGGACTTATAACAAGTACATTACAAGATACAAAACACCGACAAGATAAATCTGAGCATTTAAGAAAGTAAAAGGTCAAAATATCAAGACAAACAATCCACAAGTGGATGGTGAACTCATGAATCGTTTTCTCTTATAGTACCCAGACCCCATTCTATTTACTTTGTCATCGTTGTTCAGTACATGATCTGTCCGTTATAAAACATTATTATTATTATTCCAAATACAGTTTATAATTTACTAAAGAGCATACCGTACCTTACATGTGCGATCCTGTGATGCTGACACGATAATGGCTTTGCATCCACCATATCCTGTGACAACATCCGTTACACAAAGAGTGTGCTCCGTAAAATTATGCATGTACAGATGGCTTTCCTGTTGACTTTGATAATCATCGAATAATCTGTGGAGATTCAACGGATAGAGATATAAACGTCTTCAGTGCATGACTGAAAACAATATAAAGATACAAAAGTATAAGATAAGAAGTGGTTACCCTATAAGAGACCAAACTCGAATGCCCCCATCCTCCGACCCCGAAATCAGCAGGGAGCCATCATCCGAAAATGCCAAGCAACTAACACCTCTGTAGTGAGCATGCCATTTCTTAAGCAGTCTACCAGTATTAACCTAAATGAATGCAAAAACAAATGTTTATCAGCATTTCAGAGCTCAAAAGAAAATAAACTTAAGAGCTAGAAGAACAACGATTAGGAAATTAACCTCCCACAAGTAGATATTCCCCGATGAGCCACCGCCAACAATGTACGTCCCTTCGCTGTTCGCAGCGAGCGGATTGATCGGTTCTTCTGGGAAGCTCTTCACATCAACCTGCGGCTGCACAGCAAATCAATAATTCAATAAATTGCAAAAATTACCATAATTATATAAAAAAAAGTAAGCTTTTTATCAATGAGGCAATTCATCGAACAGGTAGTATGCATAAGAAAGGGGGTGATCTTACCTTGGACCAAGACCAGTACTGTACAGAGCCAGAGGAGGCAGAAGGCTCACGGAGCTGAGAGGAGGCGAGGAATCGTTCGCCGACGCAAATGAGGCCATGAGGCGGAGAAGCGCAGAGCTTGTAGCGGAGCTGCTCGGCGCCGGTGCGGAGGTCCCAACAGCCGATGCCGGCTTCGACAGACGACGAGGTCACCACCAGCTCCATTGAGAGTATAGATGGATTTGACTGGATTGGATTGGTGAATTGGGGGTTCTCACGAGGGTTTTTATTGAGTGTTTTGGAATCTAGGACAGAGTAACGGATACATAAACGTTGATGGTGCTGCTCTCTAAGGTTTTTGCTAGGGTTTTTGAATGGCGTGGGCAGACGCAAAAGGCCGGGAAGGTTCTCAAAACGGCCCCGTTCGCAATTGTTGTGAAAGTTTCTGATTGTTGTCTTAATTGTGGATTAATTATAATTCTTATATTTGATGGTTCAAATTTTTATTTATGATTTAACAAAAAAATTTGTAATTTGTTGTCCTATTGTTGATTGTTTCCCACATTGACACGTTTTGAAGTTTCTCTTTTTTAATTCGACTCGATCAATCTGAGTTTCGAAAATTTAATCAGCACTTTTTTTTTGGTAACGCACGTAACAAAGTATAAGAGTCGTTACAAGGTTGGATGTCATCTCCATTCTAATTTTCACCTCATTTCTCGCTAAAAAGTGGCTCAAATTTACCATCTCTACCTTATCTGATAAAAGTTAATAAGTAATTATGTTATTGATTATTCTTCACATTCATAAGGTTTTACTTAAGCAAAACCCAAACCTCAAAGGAGGAGCGTCACTATTTACAATATCACTAAAGATCATGTGACAATTCGTTAAGATTAACATAATTGTTAACAGACTGAAGACTTAAGTTTAGCAAAGTTGGATAACATAAATATGTTCTCTCTATATGCAGTTTGAATTAATTTAAGGTAAAATATCGCTGGTAAATACCCAATCTTTCGTGATTGGGTTTCTTTCTCAAAATTTAAAACAAGAGGATGCAAAGTGTGTTACGAAGCAAACTTGAAGGGGGTAATTTGTAGAGGCGCTGTGCTCAAATACCGACTTTTGAATCCTTTGGAATCAAGGCATGTATGATGGTCTCCCTGATGCGTTTCAAGTTTAATTTGGGCCCGAATGGGTTTCTCTTTTTGGTCGAACCAAATGGGCTTCATGTTTCAGCAAGTATTTCAATTGAACATTGGGCCTTCTGCCCAGACGAAAAAAAGATTTGGTTGATTAAAATGTTTATGGATTAGTTGCCGTATATGGCATTTTAATGTTTTTTTAGGTTTTTTTTTAAGTGTTTTTAAATAACTGAGAATATTTTTAGAGAAAATTATCATATTTTTGAGCTGTTTAAAATTTAGGTCTTGTTTAGAAACACTTTTAAAATGATGAAACACGGTTTTGGGGCAGATTCTTAGTAAAAATGCAAGTAAAATATGAACAACGCTTGAAGCGCTTCTTACAAAAAACACATAATTGATGTTGTAGATAGTACTTCAAATGCTTTTGAAACTAAAAAAATATTTTTCTTAAAAATGCTTTCATTCATTTTACTAATTTTTCTAAATGAGCCCTTAGTTCCAAATAACAATTCATGTGTTAATGATAATCATTAAGCAGGATTCCACTTTGATTACTCACCAGAATATTTGTTGGAGCATTCAAGTCTAGTAATTTTTTTAAGAATTGGACTTGGCTGCTGATCACCAATCATGATTAGACACGTGTTTAAATATTTGATTTCATATGCTGATCTTTTCAGCAACGAAGTTCTATCCTTTTTTTAATACAAAATTAACAAAAATATATATAGCACATGCATGACATCAGCATTGTTGGCGATGGCGGATGCAGTGCACGTCTTCAAGCATTTTAAATTACAACAAAGCATAAATGTGCACCGTCACTTGTTTTCTTTGGTGTATTTCTTCACATGGATTCACATGTTTCCATGGAGCCCACATTTTGAAACTAATTTAATTTTCTAAATCACCTAGAAATTTCCTAATGTAAAACAAAGACACTCAATTCAACAATTTGGGGTGAATGGACACATCTAGAATTAATTGATAAGTTAATACTGGTTATCTGGCCATTTTTTAGGTTCGAAATTAGTGGATGGCTAATTTGATATCAAATTAAGTTACCTATTGTGTAGCTTTCGAACCTTCATCTCTCCTTAATGTAAAATATATCGTTGTACTAAAAGGGAAAAAAAAAAAAAAAAACTTCTTATTTGGAACAAGTGAAGTCGAAAAGGAGAAAAAGAACTTGAAAGAAATTAACTACCAGCTCCAACTAATTGGTATGTTTACTCATTTTTAAATATTTAATTATGAATTTTTAATGTAGAGTTTATGTTTTAATTTTTTATTACGTGCGAGTAAGAAATTTTTTTCAAAAGCGTGCTAAACGCAAAGGAGTAAAGAATTTAGGGGTTTTTTGAAATGGGTCCAAAGTAACTAAAAATTGGATCTATTTCAAAAGTCAAAAGTCACTAAAAATTGGACTTATTTCAAAAGGTAGTCTATAAAATTATACTTATTTCAAAATTTCCCAAGAATTTAATACTCACTCTGTATAAATAAACATGAAAAAGGTCTGTACGGTTAGTTGGTCAATATCTTTTTCCCTAAAAGAAGTAGTGCAGGGTATGTGATATCCCACGTCGCCCAGGGAAGTGATCCTTATATGTATATTCTCATCCCTACCTAGCACGAGATCTTTTGGGAGCTCACTGGCTTCGGGTTCCATAGGAACTCCGAAATTAAGCGAGTAGCGCGCAAGAGCATTCCCAGGATGGGCGACCCATCGGGAAGTTCTCGTGTGAGTTCCGAAAAACAAAACCGTGAGAGCGTGGTCAGGGCCCAAAACGGACAATATCGTGCTACGGTGGTGGAGCGGGCCTGGGAAGTGGTCCCCCCCCAGGGCTGGGATGTGACAGGGTATATGTCTATGTTTAGGTTACGATAATTACTCACCTAGCACTTTTAGTAGTATTAATCTTTACTTCTAAATAAAATATACATCAAGTTTAATTTTGATGAATAGAGAGTTGGATACAAATTATTATAGTTATTTTATTGTGTGATCTAACTTAAATCCTTCACTTCCTTAATGTAAATATATTGTTGCATTAAAACAAATATGATGTTCAAAGTACAAATTTTAACTGTTACACTATGTTTGGCTGATGAAAATAAACATAAAATTTTGACAAAATTCAGATTTTATAAATTGATATGCATTAATTTACTTGTTTGAATTCATAAACATATAAATTTAGAATTTCTGTGTAGAAAAAAAAAATTGGATTATGGGATCTCCAATTCTCAAAGTTTAATTATAGGTAAATAGGTGTCGTTTCTAAATTTTTATGAGTAAGTGATTAAAATAATAAATTGCATATTTAAATTCTATTGTTCCTTTAGGTTAACAAAACAAGAAAATTTACAAATTATAGAAAATGAAATTTTGTCATTTTAAAATTCCTCATTCAAACAAAATGTTATTGTATTTTGATATTTACATGCAATTATTTTTCGTAAACAGATAATTTACTCGCATTTTCTCTTAATACAAGTGGAAGACTTTAGATGCAGGTATAACCGCTTTTAGTTACGGAATCTGATTTTTACATGCACTTTTGGTTCTCACTTCTCACACACACATTATGTTTATATATCAGATTGAATAAATTAAATGAACACCACAAACATAAATAAGTATAAAAATAGCTATACGATCGATCATTATACAATATGTTTATGTATCTATACATATACGAGTATTGGCAATTTGGCATGTGAAATGCGGGCGGTGCCAACTGTGGTATGTCTGTCAGCTTAATTAGTTCCTTGCTATTTCGTCAACCCAAACTTTAGCACTCACCAAATCACAAATATTAACCCCCCTAACCCTAATTAATTAAAAATTAGCACCCCCACTTTTGTCTTCCCCGTCCCTCGCAGCAAGGTATAATCTTACTCCAAGCCCCCCTCACCCCCGTTACCCCTTCATTGCAGCTGAGCTCAGCTCACACACAATATTGCCCCAAATCGCCCTCCATTAAATTCCCCCAATTCACCACCAAACAAACCAACCTCCGCCACAATGCACGCCAAGACAGACTCCGAGGTGACCAGCCTCGCGCCGTCGTCCCCCACCAGATCCCCAGGCCGCCGCCCCGTCTACTACGTCCAGAGCCCCTCGCGCGACTCCCACGATGGAGAAAAGACCGCCACGTCTTTTCAGTCCACCCCTGTCATCAGCCCCTCCGGCTCCCCTCCCCACTCCCACTCCTCCGTCGGCCGCCACTCCCGCGAGTCCTCCTCCACACGGTTCTCCGGGTCACTCAAACCCGGATCCCGAAAGATCAACCCCAATGACGGGTCCCGCCACCACCGGAAAGGTCAGAAGCCGTGGAAGGAGCAAGCCGTCATTGAAGAAGAAGGCCTTCTGGAGGGAGAAGAGCGATCCAAAGGCTTCCCGCGGCGGTGCTACTTCCCGGCTTTCGTTCTCGGCTTCTTCCTCCTCTTCACCATGTTCGCTCTGATTCTCTGGGGCGCCAGTAAGCCCATGAAGCCCAAGATCACCATGAAGGTTCGTCCGATTCGCCATTGTCCATTCTCAATTCTCCATGCTCTCATCTCCATTTGGCTAATTGATTATCTGTCTAGTGATTTTTAGTCGGTTAATATCGTTTAATTGCAGAGCGTGACGTTCGAACAGTTCAAAATTCAAGCGGGTTCGGATTCCACCGGCGTCTCCACTGATATGATCTCAGTCAATTCCACAGTCAAGTTCACATTTCGCAACACCGGCACGTTCTTCGGAATGCACGTAATGTCGAAGACTCTAGATCTATCATACTCCCAAATCACAATCGCCTCCGGAACTGTAAGCCAATTTCCACTTTCAATCATTAATTTTCATAATTTCATCGACTAGTCATTAATTGGATTGCTAATCTCAATTGGTTTATGCAGATTAACAAGTTTTATCAGTCGAGGAAGAGCCAGAGATCGATCAGCGTTCAGTTATTCGGCGATAAAATCCCGCTGTACGGGAGCGGCGCAAGCATAAACAGCGCGACGGGGACGACGGCGCTGCCGGTGCCGCTGCAGCTGAACTTCGTGATCCGATCGACAGCCTACGTTTTGGGGAAATTGGTGAAGCCGAAATTCAACCGGCGGGTTTATTGTTCTGTAACTTTCGATCCCAAAAAGCTCAACGTTCCGATCAAGCTCAACAACTGCACCACTGGTTGATCGACAGAGACGAGGAAGCACACGAAATTACAAATTTGTATTCTTTTTCTTTGTTTTCGTTGAAGAGAAAAAGTGGCGGACAACTCAGCGGGCAGACTTTTGGAGTTCGGGCAGAGAGTGAGGGTAGAAAATGACGCGGTTTTGGGACTTTTTGGGTGCCGGAGATGAGTGTTGATTTACAGGTTGTATTACTACTTACTATATTCACACCTTCTCTCTTGTTTATTTATTCTATTTTTTTTCTTTTTATTGTAATTGTAAAAGTACGAAATTATTTATTTATGTATAATCTCAATAATGCAATGCAATTCCATTCGTAATTATTTTTTGAGTAGTGCTATCCACAAATATTTTTTAATTTTTGACTATGAATGAAATGAATTAAAAAAGATTAACGGTAAAAAAAATTAAAAAAAAGTGTGTGATAGAGAAAAATGAGTGTAAAATTGTAAATAATATTTTTAAAATTTTTTTTTGTGTGCGGCGGGTAAGCACATGTAAATGGATAAACTAGTGCCTAATTAGCCTGAATCTTAATTTCTCAAATATTGAATTACAAATTTTAAGGTACACTTACATTTTTTAGATGTAATATAGACAACCCGACTATGAAAATATCACGAAATATCCCATGTTTGGGTTGGACATAATCATGTCAACCCGCTTGACACGGTCAATAAATTGCTTATGTGTTGAGTCAACTAGCATAATTCGAAAATTACATGTTTTAACATGTTTAAGTAATCTCTGTATTTGATACAACATTATATGTTATGGGTAAGTTTCTGCTTATGAACATTAGCTAATTATTAATCGTAACATTATTAGTAATTGTGTCGTGTCCGGATATACTATTTTTGTTCGTGTCCAACTATTATCGACATGAACCCGATCTGAAAACATGAATCGCCACCCTATTGAATTGTATGATTAATGAATGACTTAACTACAATATGGACTCGTTTGGAAGTTCTTTTAAAAGACCGAAATCGCTTTTAGTGAAAATGTTTTTAAATCCAATCCTTAGTAAAAGTCTAAGTGAATCTTGGAAAAAAACTTTAAGTGCTTCATGCAAGAACCACATATCTAGTGCTTATTTCAAAAAGCACTTGAAGTTCTTTTGAAACCGAAAAACAATTTCGTCAAAAACACTTTCAGTTATTATAAAAATACTTTCAAACGAGCCCATGCCACTATCCTTTGCACAGTTTCTAATTCTAAATATGGACCGGACTGAAAATTCATTATCAGGCCCGAAAATATTGGGCCGAATCTATAGGGCAAAGTAAAATTTGTTAGAGTTACGAAAAAGCCCACAAATAAGAAGCCTGATGACAATGAGGACAGGCGGTGAAAAATAAAAGATGGAATCTTCGACGGCCAGCGAGCCAGCATTTCACACAAGCAACCTCTCTCCTCTCTCTCTGTGTTCGTTTGTCTCCTCAGAGAAAAGAACTCTCTTTCTCTCTCTAAAACTCTCTGAGACTCTCTCTCTCTCTAAAACCTCACAAGCTATGGCTCTTCCCCGGCACCATTTCCAACAGCACTACCCACCCCAACAACAACAACAGCAACAATCCAAGTCTTTCAGGTAATTATTTCATCAATTTCGTCCAATATTTAAGACGCTTCCTTTTATTTATTTACTTAAATCTATTTATTTTCCACATTTTTGGTGTAGAAATTTGTACACAATCGACGGTCAGATGTCGCCGGCGGTGGCCTATTATGACCCCGGAAATTTACAGGATCACCCCCAGCAGCATCCTCCTTACGTTCCGCCCTGTAATTTCTCTTTCCTCCTCTTTTTCTTTCATTTTCTTATGCTTTGTTTGGTTGCCCAGAATTTGTAACAAAACCTAGCTCAACAATTTTGGATTTTTTTTTATACCAGTGCTCCAAATTCCAGAGGGTTTTAGATAAAAATCGTCACTTTAGCTGTATTTCCGTGTTTTCGCTGCGAATTTCAGCTGAATTTATCATTTTTAATAACGGAATTGCAGAAAGTGGAATACTTTATTAAATTCATGACATTTTTTGTCCCTTAACTTTCCCTAGACTTTCTTAGCAACCAAACAGAGCCTTGATTCTTTGATCTTGAGCTTGTGGAACATTACCTGAAATGATTGGTGTCTTCTTTTTAGTTCATGTAGAAGGGTTTGCGCCTGGTCCCATGGCTGCAACGGATGGCAGCGATAATGGCGCTGATTTGCAGTGGCATTACGGTTTTGAATCCAAAAGGAAAAAGCTAAAGGAACAGGATTTCCTGGAGAACAACTCGCAGATATCGTCCATTGATTTCCTGCAACCGCGATCGGTCTCCACAGGCTTGGGTTTGTCCCTTGACAATACTCGAATGGTTTCTACGGGGGACTCATCATTGCTGTCAGTTATCGGCGATGATGTTGATCATGAGCTACAGCGACAGGATGCTGAGATTGATAGATTCCTCAAGGCCCAGGTTTGGTTTCTTGGCAAAGACCTTATCTTGTTGCTTGGTTGAATGCTTTTTTGGGGATGTCTTAGATGCTTGCAAAAAGCTAAATTAATTGTGTTTATAACAGGATGATTACTTAATCTGCTGATGATCAATGGTCGTACATTTTTGTATATGTTGGTATGTAGGGGTATTATGTCATTGTTTTAATGATCATGCCATATTTGTTGAGTTTATGTATGGGTTTGAACATCTAATACTTTTGATTGCAGATTCTTGGATTTTGTTTAGAATTATTTTCTTCTATAAAAACCATGGATCAATTTTCAAGTACTCAAATGTTTGATGTAATAAGAGTTGCAGTTCGGCGAACTGGATCAGTTGTATTTTGACAGTTCTCAAACCGAAACTAGAAAAACTACATTTATAGCATCTTAAGTGTGTATGCATCCACAAAATTACTAGAATCTGTTATCCTTTGCGTTTTCAAAATGATCGTTCATATGATTTGTTATATTTGAGGCCATTATGATTAGAGATGGCACTACGTGTCATGCAGTTTGGTTCAAGATGCTACAAAATGTTATCAACTTCCCAAAACACATGACAGGCTAACCTCACAGATAGTGATTGCGTCCAACTATGGTTTGATATCTTAACTAAAATATGTGTTATCTGTTACTAAGTTTATGGCATAGCTTTTAATAAAAAAAGTGCCTCATCCGAGCACAAATTGACGACTTTGATTTGTTCTCTTCACCACTATTGATACAATCTAGACATGAACTGTATTTAGTAAATAAAATAAACAAGATTTGGCATAACTCGGATAATGTTTCAAGTGCTCCATCTTGATGGAAGATCCTTGCGGCTAAGGTAGTAGATGTGGTGGTGTGAGGACAGTGCGGTTTGTATAGTCGTGTTTAAGCAGTCTTTTGTAAGTTAAATTCGTGTATATTCGGTTTCTTATTCGAGTTTTCTTGTTCGCCTTCCGTTTTTGGGTTGTTGGATATTCTGTGGGTCCCATTGCTTTCTGATGATTGCTTTTATATCAACGTGTTTGCTTATTAGCAAGGAACAACCATTCAATAGATTCTTTTAACTGATTAACTAACTATAACTTTCCTATTTTATAGGGTGACCGATTGCGGCAAACTATCCTGGACAAGGTCCAAGCCACCCAGCTTCAGACTATCTCAGCTGTGGAAGACAAAGTTCTTCGGAAGCTGCGAGAGAAAGAAGCAGAAGTGGAGAGCATTAACAAGAAGAATATGGAGCTTGAAGAGCGAATGGAACAGTTGGCTGTTGAAGCAGGTGCTTGGCAACAGATAGCCAGGCGCAACGAAAACATGATCTCATCTCTAAGGTTTAATCTTCAGCACGTATATGCTCAAAGTAGAGATAGTAAAGAAGGATGTGGTGACAGTGAGGTAGATGATACAGCTTCTTGCTGCAATGGGCGTTCAATCAATTTGGATATGTTTTGCAAGGAGAATAATGACGGGAAAGAGATGATGACTTGCAAGGCCTGTCGAGTCAATGAAGTGTGCATGCTTCTATTGCCTTGTAAGCATCTTTGCCTGTGTAAAGATTGTGAAAGTAAGCTCAGCGTCTGCCCTCTCTGTCAATCGTCTAAGTTTATCGGCATGGAGGTATATGTGTAATGTGTTGCATTAGAAAGCTGTTAATCTTTTATGTCTAAGCCATATGTCATATAAAAATGATCAAAAGTCATATGCATTATTGTTGTCATTTGAGGATTAACTGCTTGAGCACCCTGTGAGACTGGCATTATTTGGCCATCCGAAGATAGGGCTAAGGAGTAAAGATTTGAATAGACATTAGCCGTCCTGTGAATGATTAGTAGCGTTATTCTTAAGATTCTTAAATGAGCAGTGATTTTCACACACCCGTTGATTCTCCTGTGATTTATTCAATCCAAATGTGAAACAAAGGGAGGACTGCGGGAGAAGAAAACGGGTGTGCGAAAATGAGTTTTCTTTATAATGTAAATTAGTGACATGCCATTAATATGTATCATTTGTGTTCGAAAATGTTGTGTTTTTCAATCTGTGTGACATGCTTATCGTTGCCAAAACTTGTATGGGTTGCCAAACTTAGAAACTCAGAAGCAAGTAAGCAACAACCTTGAACCATCCTGAGCAGGATTTCCAATACGTGGCTGCATGTTATTTGTCCATTACTAGCGACGTCCACTGACGCAACGAAGAAGTAGCTGATTATATTACGTAGCGTGCAAGGGTGTAAAATCCCAGTTGTACACTCCACCTGCTAAACCGGTTTATGGGTGGGGGAACTGGGAAAATGTTGTATAAACTGGTTTAGTTAATTAATTCAAGATTAATTCGTTTTGGTTTGCTCTCGAACTTAATTAATTTATCGGAATTGTTATTAGCATTATACAATTTTCATTGTGAACTTCAAATCTTTTATATTTAGATAGAAGAATGCATTTGTAAGGAGTGCACAATGAGATTATACTTTTGGCATTCAACTTATAAAATCAGAGAAAATTAGACCGATAGAAAGAACATAAAATTAGAACGATATGGAGAAGATTAGTACGTGCTTGTTCAAGGTTGATACGCATAAACCGGAAGGCTCATTTAAAACATAGATTATAGAGTTCGGCTCGTCCGGCCGATGTAACAAGAAATATAGACATATGGGCCTCAAATCAAACATCTGGACTGGCCAGCAGGTGGGAGATTATAGAGTCCGGCCCTTCATAACTAGAAAAGTAGGCATGAAAAATGTAAGATTAATTACACCATTTCTTTTATTCTTTCCATCCAGACAGAACCAAGAAACCCACATGGAGGCTATAAGAAAAAGAAAAAAAGAATGGGGACCATCTCAGAAGTTCAATTTAGCTGAGGCCGAAGAAACATAACCCAATATGGTTTGATAATTCATTTCAATAGTAATCAACTGATCAAATATAAGATTTCACATTATAATATAATATTTTTAGTTTCGTTAAATTTTTGACGTGGCTTTGATATCATGTAAAATTATGTGAAGTGGACGATTGTATTAACACGTACATATATGCCAATTATACATTGTAATAACGGTTGACCTAATCACGTGTGAACTGAAAGTGTGATAGAGAGGTAATTTGGATTGCATGAGATGACATGTGATCGCTCGTAAATGATGTGGTATTAACAGATCTTACATTCTTCAACTTTATAAAAATACATAAGCTATTATGGTATGAGTCTTGGGGAGGAAGTTTGTAGTTTAATTTGGGGAAAAAAAAGGTAGGGGAGGGAATTGAAGTTTGCTTTTGGGTGAGGGAGGGAGATTAGATGGATAAACTTTTATCTAATCATGCCTTTGAAAGTGATGACAAAGAGGAAAGTGAATATGCTTCCCCATGATTGTAAAACTATCATCTATTATTATTACTATTATTATCATTATTATTTCCACCTCCACTTCCACTTCCACCACCGCAAACCCCAACCGAACTCAGTCTTGTCATACTCATCCTCCTCATGCACTTCATGCACTTTAATTGCCTTTTCCCTCCCTAATTAACCACATAATCCCTCTTTTCTTAATTTCATAAACAGTTAAGAAACTACTTAATCATATCTAAAATTTGCCAACACTAGTGAGGGGTTAGTTATAACTACAGCAATTAAGAGCATTCACCTGTGTCCTTATTGTTGAGGTTTTTGGAAACTATTTCATAATCATTTAGTTTTTAATTTTTAGATGTATTTTTTGTGCTAAAGATAAAAGAAAAGCATATAAGGGAAATGAGGACTAGAGAGAGATGAAGGAAGGTGATGGGAGGGACTAGGGAGTAGAGAGAAATGATGGTTATATGAAACAGAAACTTAAAAAGTGAAAACTTCAAATTGTTTTTAGTTTTGATTATTTGTGTGTCATTTCATACACATTAATTTCTCTCACATTTCCGTCATCCTTCACCCTTTTTCATTCCACATATTTTTCATATATTTTTCGTCTATCTCTAGCATACAAAATAAAAATTAAATGAGGACATGAGAGAGATGAATGGAGGAGATGAGAATGAGTAGCGTGATGTTATATAAAACAGAAACTTGAAAGTGAAAAGACTTTAAAATTCATTTCGGTTTTGTGTTTTTTGTTTTCATTTTGTGTGTCATTCTATACACATCCCTTCACATTTCTTCTCATCCTTCATTTTTCATTTCTCCTTTTCTCCCATATACATTTTGTCAATCTCTAGCATAAAAAAACATTAACCCACACAATATTCTATATTAATGTCTAGCTAAATCATAAATATTTTTCTTTTCGTTTCTTTTTGTGATCAGTTCAATCATTCCAACCCTCCTCCTTATTCCCTCTAAAGCTGTGGATTTTATTTTCTTCACTTTGTTTGTATTGTGGGGACTTTGCCCAGCCTTTCATGGCTTCATTCCACTTTGTATCTCTTTGCCTTCTTTTCACCAGACCTTCGTATGTTAGTGAAAGTATATTTGGGGCTCCAAGTATATATTCTCTCTCACTGTCAAAAGTTATATTCCATCGATCCCATTTCATTCTAAAGTGAACACACGAGCTTTTCTGATAGCCATGCTTCCAGCTTTGAGGGTCTTTCTTTCTTTAATTTCTTTAAGTTTACTTTTTTGTGATCTCTATGTTCGTAATATAAATGTGAAAAAGCAGCGGTAATCAAATAGTTTGCTTGTTTAATTAATCACAATATAAAGAAAGTGATGTTTGAATACAAGCCATTACATTTAGGAGTGAAATTTGAACGATTTGGAATTTTACTTGTTTAGAAAAATGCTGTCACTATCTAGGCTTCTGCTAAAATAGTATGGGATATAATATTGTTTGTATAAAGGATAATTAACGTAGAAAAAAGTCTGGGATATAATATTGTTAGAAATTCTGCAACGCATGAAAAATTTAATTTGCCAAATGTGAGTGGACGATTAACCAATTGTCTTGTGTTAATTGATCGGCTACTCACATTTCGCAACTATCCTGCATAATATGTCTAGCATTAGAAAAAAACTAACTATTACAAAAAGTCTCCAAAGAATTCAATTTTCGTTAAAAGAATTCAATTTTCAAAGAAGGTAATAATTAAGGAAGAAAGTAGGAGTAGTAGGGTTTAACAATTAAGCATCATCATCAGATAAACAAGATCTGTTGAAACCAACATGCCCTATCAATACCATATGCCTTATACCCAATGAAATTGAAATCTATAATATAATAATACACAAGAACGAATGTTTTCTAATAGATATTTGCATTCTCCATATCCGCCAAAACCAATGCCTAGTTTTGGTGATTGCAGAAGAAACACTCTGCTTCTTCTAGATCTCCTCCTCCTTCTTTCTTTCTTTCTCAATATTATTGTTGAATGCAATATATGTCAAATAATATATGAGTGCATGCATGACCCCCCATCCCCCACCAAGAAAACAAAAGAAGAAGGAAAGTTATTCTATTTTTTAATTAAGGGAAAGAAAAAGACAATGTCTAATTCGATATAAGTCATCCAAATATAACACTTTACAGTTCAAAGTTCCACAAGCATTAGGCACTTGTCTCATATATTTGTACGTATATTCCATACTTGTTCTTTGGAAGGACGTGAGACAAATTCACCCTTCTGTAAATAAAAGCCAAAATTGAGAGTGTCACATGGACATAGGTTGTTCAATTTTAGTTCAACTTTTAACAACAGTAGCAACTAAGATGCATGGTGGAGTGGTCCTAGAAATAGAAACCCACCTTAACTTCACGTCCTTGTCCATAAGCTCCTCAGATCTCAATTAGAAGCTCTAGTGCTCAAGCCTTAATTTATCTTAGCTTTTAGATTATACCTAATGTCTTCATCTTCTTCAATACACCTTGGACTTGATGCATGATTCTTTGCATGTCTCTTTAACTAATGTGCACTAAGTTACGATTTGTACATGTCATCATCTTCTTCAGTACACCCTGGACTTGGATGTCTTCATCTTCCTCAATAACCTTGGACTTTTTTTATTTTTATTTTATTTTTATTTTTTATAAGAAATAACTACATTTTGTGAATGTCATGACTCGCTTACATTTCCATCCTCTTTATTTTTAAGGAGTGATTTCTGGACATCTATTTTCACCTTTGTATATCACCTTTTAATTCTAGCTATTGGTTTTATTTACTTTGCTCCATCTAATGACTAAATAAAATAGTGTGTGTGTGTGTATAGAGATATATATATGTACGTAAGTAGAGAAAACGAGGGAGCAGAAATCATGTCCCTATTTTTTAACAGTGAAGAATTTGGGATGACCATTAGACATAATATGACAATACGTTAGGTACAACATATTAGTGAAGTTAATATTCCATATTGAATGATTTGCATCAGATCACTTAGAAACTTTATGTCTGACTTGACATGATTGAGCAGCCAAAAAAGGGTTTCGTAGTGGATGATTAGGTGGCAATAATATTTGTATGATTATGAGATTATATGAAATAAGTAAAAAAGGGAGAAAACAAAACAATATCATTTAAAGAAAATTGGCCAAGCAAATTGCAATGCAAGCAGTCCGGATCAACCTAGCAATATGCAAACGATCATGATTTTGTGATGGTTCATAATAATTAATAAATCAATCGATGAGCAATCCACACAAGATCATGAATTATCATATGGATAATATGGAAATAATTCACCGATTTCGATGAGATGGGGGTTAGGGTTTGCCATTTTTAATTATATCATGCATTATTGGCTGGCATCAGAAAAAAATGCCACTTTAAGCACTTTGCTTTGTGTAAGTAAAATGGACGTGAGACTGTGAGAGAGGTGGGTCTTCCCTGTATATGCATGAAATGATGGTGAGGATGATGGGGGGTCCCATATCAGCTTAATATCATCATCTCACGGAATCCCTTGGATTGAGGAAGAAGTAGCTGATAGTATTAGCAAAATTTTCGTTTGCAGCAGCAGCAGCCTTGAGTCCTGCTGGGACCCTAATTTTTCAAACAACCTTTTCTTTTGTGAACGTTTCATCAGCCATAGTATAAAAAGAAGAGAACAGAGAGAAGAAGAAAAAGGAATGTGATGTGCATGTGATCCAACAGCATCTATGTTCCCCCTTAATTCTTCTAATTCTTCAAAACCACCATTCCAGTCCCCTTCTTATTTGCATGTCTTGTTTTTTTCTTTTCTTTTTTGACATTCGGTGACTCAAACTTTTTTGATTAATCATGTTTAGGTCATGCATAGATTTAGATTGTACTATAACTTATTTAATTTCGGATCCCAGGTCCCATGGTCGGCCATGGTTTTCAAAATAGCACCGATTAAAAAGTATGGTATTAGTGGAATCTTTGGCCCCAATATATATCATATCATGCATGTAGACCATCGTGATCATCAATAATATTATTGTGATTAACTTGGTGAGCAAGTTTTTAATTAATTAATCAAGTTTTAATACATATATGTTGTAGAATATACTTTCAAGTACTCTTCTTTCTTTTGTTTACGACTATTTCATAAAGTTCCTCTCACACGTTTACAGAAGGATCGATTTTTAACGTAGAAGATGAATGAACGTCTTTAACAAAGGAAAGAACGAAGGGAGAAAAGAAAAAGAAATAAAAGAAGAAAGGAAAGGAGGGGAGAAAGATAGTGGAGGAAAGACAACTCTTGTTTCTCTCCTTTTAATGTAATTATAAAGTGAGCTAAAATTGGCTTTTTTATTCGTTGAAAAAGAAAATGAAGGCCATGCAAGTCGACGTTTTTTTTTAAATTATTTGGGATCCCTTTGGACCTTTTGGTTTGAAAATAGATTTCTCCTAGTCTAAGAGAAACTCCTTTTAACATCTTTTTTGAACAATCGTTCAAACTTTTGCATGGAGACTAAATCTACATTGTTGTTCAAAAGTGTGAATTTCTTATACTTAGTATACCCAATTATTTCATATAATTAATTAAGAACCATTTAGATAGATGAAATCTAACAAAAATAATTAGCTTCTCATATGTAATGAGTCATTTCTCTTTGCGTATAAAACTTCTACATATTATTTTTATAAGATATTTTTGCATGTCTCACATTATGATATCCCTATAAGGAAGAATATTCCTTAATTTGTTATTTCATTTGGGATCCTTTTGATATGACTTTCTCATGCACAAGTTAAGAATGGAGAAGACATTAACTCTTACTTCTACTTTGATTCATATCATTCAAAATAAGCAGCAGGTAGAAAGGGATAAAAGTACGTATTGATTAGCAAGTTCTACGTGATTAATTAGGACATGCTTATCAAAGATATCATATATAATTGAAGATAAAAGTACGTATTGAGGCAAGGAATACAGTATTCAAATCAAACCAAATTAATGTGACGATGAAATCATGAGATTCCTTTACCAAATAAAGTCAGTACCACCTAAAGCGGCAACAAGCTTTAGGAAACTATAAAGGGTATACCTTAAAGAAAAGGATAAGAACGATTATTATTGCTCTATCACTAGGGTTTCATACTTAGTGCAACAATATTAAAGAAAAATTTAGAATGCAAATCTTACCATATTGGAAAAACCATGCAGTAATTTTTCACAACTTGAGAATTTCACATCTCAGTAGTAAATTATTTCTTCAATATATTTAATTATACTTACAAAGTTCAATAATCATTCACAAATTAGATGAGACTTTTCACATTTTCTGCATGCATTTATGGAAGCAGGTTGCTTCCTGTTGACTGAAGATAAAAGTATGTGATCGATACAGAACAAGAAGCCCAGGAAGCCCAGATTCAAAGATAGGATAGAAAGTCAATATCATACCACCGGACAAAAATCCGGGTCTAAGAAGCAAAAAACTGGTATATCTTGTCGGATCTTTGATGATCCGAAAAACGCATGCCCATTTGCTCGTGGCATCTGTTATCCCGTCGTGACCTTTATGTTTGTTTCTGTCTTTTATTAGATAAATATACACATGATATAGCCCCCCAGCACCTGCAGGATTCGAAACCTATAGCACTTTGACCCAATTCAATCCATACCATAAGAACCCTATATTAAAGAAAAGAAAACCCTAATATTTAAAAAACACCCTAATTTTCATAAAAATAAAGTTAGCTATATATTTAATAAGGTTTTATTGTGTAAGAGGAGGAAGATGCCAGTAAAAACGACAAAAGAGAGCGCGAGAAGAGAAGAGACAGAAGAAAGAACCTGGTAGCTTTGTCGTATAGAATACAGATTTTGATTCTTTTTTCCAGTTTAGAAAGAAGGAGAAAGAGTTAGAGTAGTTTCTCACTTTCTCTGATAATATAAAATTTAAAGTACTATTCACATTTAATATATGCAGGGTTTATCCGTATTCGCTCTGTGTTTTAAGTTGTCTCTCCTTGAAATTCTCGTATCGGATAATATATAAGGCTCATTAAGCAGAAAAATCCTTGTTTTTAAGTACAAATGAATAAATATAGTTCCTTTTTTTGTATGGTATCGGCGGTGGTCATGTGAGAGGAGGTGGGGTTTGGTTTCACTTTCACTGCGTTTTAGAAATTAGAATAGAATCTTCTTGCTCTTCAGCACATAGCTAGAGAGAGAGAGAGAGAGAGAGAGAGAGAGAGAGAGAGAGAGAGAGAGAGAGGAGAGATGGGTAGTAGTAGCAGCAGCAGCAGTGCATGTGTGTCGTGTTGGGTGTGATTTTGGTAGTGATGGTGGTGGTGGGCTCGGTATAGGATCATGTCTGAATTGCTGACAACTTGTGAAAAAAATCAGGCTTCGTTTTTCTAGATTTCCATACTATGTGGACCCATCTAACCCCTGTTTCATATGTCTTATATTATTCAAACAAAGGTAAAAAATGCTTCATAATTTACATTTAGCTAGCTCAGTTAATTACTCAATCAACAAATCATGCTTGGATTAATAAGGATTCGTATAGGTCCTCCATAATGTGAGAGAAACACTTCATTAGGGATTTCCCATGTCACATGCTAAGCTGAGTAACGTTTCAATCATACATTGTTATGTATTGTATAAATAAATACATACATAATGTGTTTTGACTTAACAAATGTGTAGAAAGGTAGATGGATTAATGGAGTTAATTTAACTGAATCAACAAATCATGGTTAGATTAAGTATAGGTCCACCATAGTGCTGAGAAAAACTTCACTAAGACTTTCTTGTTATTCGGGTGCCAACTGATTAAGATGTACATCTCAAAGATAATTAGTTATGTATTGCACGAAATATGTAACTTTTGATGTGTTTTAATTGCATGAAATGTATAAAAAGGTATAGATGGAGTAATGGGGTTAATTTAGTTTGTAAAAATTAATTAACAATAAAGTGTAGATGCCTAGATGGGTTGGTGGTGTAAGCTAGGTGTGGGTAATATTCCCAAAAATGTGTATGTAACATGAACATGGGAAAAGGGTGGTGGTAATAAATTTATATATATATATGTATGCAAGGGAAACAAACAAAACAAGAATCACGAGAATGGGATACCTACACAGAACCTTCAAAATAAAAAGGACTACTGTCTCCATGTCAGCCGCTGAAACGCTGCAGAAACTGCACAGAAGAGTGCAGCAGGTTTAAGATGTGTGTGAGGGCTGAGGACCTGGGAATTAAGAAACGAAGGAGAGAGAGAGAGGGAGAAGGGCCAAGAGAGTATTAGAAGTTCTTTGATCTCATGCTAGAGAAAAACCCCATTTCCCATTTTAATTGAATATCGGGACTTGAAGCTGACACTGTTTCATCTTATTTACTAATATTAGTTCCTTTATTTATTTTTCTTTATTTTCTTAAAATAAAAAGCTTATATATGATTAACTTCTACAGTGTGTGCCAGTACACCACATGCAAATATTAATTTTTACCTTGATACATACCAATGTAGGATATTTTTCCTTCTCATGAGTTTCATGATAATTATGTGTATATACATACATATATATATATATTGTGTGTGTGTGTATTTACTGGTGCTGGGCATGCACTTGCCGGTTCTTGTATTTTCATGTTTGATATTTGAAATTTTAGTTAATAAAATGAAAGTTCTTTGTATTTTTTCAATTCTAATGGGTATTTTCCATTCTTGCAAAAAAGAGAGATTACCACATAACCATAAGAGAGAGAGAGAGAGAGAGAGAGAGAGTAGCATGTATGATTTCCCTTGCTTCAGGTACATTTTTAAAATACAACCTTGCTTGAACAGGATCTGTTCTATATATAGGTTGTAACTCTGTATCCTTGATTTCTAAGGAGACAAAACCCTAGTTTGGTGGATGAACCATCATCGTGTGATCAGAGCATGATTAACAGCCCTGTGATCCTTGGATCATTCGAGCAGTAGATGATCGTTCTCAGCCAACAACCAACTGGGGTGGTCACATGGTTGTTTGACAGACACCCTTTCTTTCTGGGAAGTCCTTGTGTTGCATCCCTCCACCTCTTTTGTCCCTCGGGGACATCTGATAAGAAAAACGAAAAAAAATAAAGTACATTTTAAAACATAAACACTGTAGGTTATAAATTTGTAAATTGGTCTTTTGAACATAGAATTTTCTTCGTTTTAAATATTGATACATAGAGTAATGTTAATTATACATGTCTGTAGCTCGCAATGTTGCGGACATACTCTTTGATAAATGTAAGAAAATACAATGTACAGTTGGACTTATTCTAGAGTGTGTGAAATGTAGTGCGTTTTATATGTCTAAATATTATTCTCACTCACGAGGAGTTTTCTAATAATCTTTTGTTGTATGAATTTCAAATGAGGAAAGCGCCGAAAAAATGTAAAAGTGAGAAATTATAAGTGGGGAACTGAACTGGGACGGTTTGATGAGTTTAACTTTGTTTTCCAAATAATGAGAATCATAGGCATGATCAAAATAATCAGTTGAGTATCTCTGTGAAATAATTAGCCATCATTTTCCTATTGTTTTCACTTTGCACCTGGAAGGCCTGATTGTGTCCCTACGATCCCTACCCCTCTCTGCTCCTTGCAGTCAGTCTTTCACTTATCATCACAAAATAAAATCCATTCCTTACTTTTATATAATAGGATTCCTTAGCGGCCACTTATTACAATGACTTTCATGCAATCTATCTCAAGCTATACCTTCTTCCAATGGTCACATTACATTGTGACACTTCTAGGTACTACGCAAAATTAAAAAAAAATAAAATGGGAGAATTCATAAATTATTTTTCTTTTCTACAAAAAGGAAAATATATATATACATACACATTTACAAACTATAATAATGATCATAACCACACCTGTGAAATTAAAAATAAAAACATGTCGAGTACAACAATAGGAATAATGTGATTCCAAAAGTAAGTTCCGTTGACTGAACGTCTAATAACAGTTCATCTGCTTCATGAACAAATGTCTCTAAAGTTGAGTTAAAGAAACCGGCCAAGTGACGAATATCTTCAATAATCAATTAAATCTCCAAAGGAAAAAACATTAATTAAGAATAGTACCGATAACAAGTTTTTAGTCTCCCTCCACACATTCACCATTTCATTAATTGTTAGTTTTTAGTTTATGATTTTCACTTCTTATTTTGTATTTGTAAGCTGAAAAGTGAATCACTTTGTATTATGAAAGATGTCATTAGTATTGAATCTCAATGGGATGTAAAAAGGAAAACGAAACACATATATCCTCTTCCTACTCTCTTTTCACAGAGAGTCAGCGAGATAGAGAGAGTAAAAAGAAAAGAATATTTCTTGGGCATTACAAAAGAGAGAGGAGGAAAAAGCTGTAATATAATTTTTGTTTTTTTGAGTTTTTTCACGTAAACTTTTGGGGCCAATAATTCAATCACCTGGACACGTCAACAAAGAAGCCAAGCCGGCCGATGGTGGATGTCAAAAGCAGCTGGCTGGCAGGGCTAGAGAGAGAGAGAGAGAGAGAGAGAGAGAGAGAGAGAGAGAGAGAGAGAGGTATTGTAAGTTAGTGAGTAAAAGGTCGTAGTGGCCAGAGCGGGAGAGAGAGAGAGAGAGAGAAGCAAATGGAAGAGAAGGTTAAGCAATAGAAATAGAAGGAAGGGTAGAGGAAGAAAATGTCGTCACGAAGAAACAGGCTTTAAATCCCATCACGTAGTTCGATGTATCCTTTACCTTATATATAGGGTAATGTTAGGAAGATCAAATTAGAAGATAAAATTTTTAAAAATTAAAGAATATGAAAGTTGATGCATGGTGGATTAGTTAAAAGTTGACAAACATGCTTATTTCTATTGATAATATATTATTTAGTTTGCAAATTTAATCTTCAAATTTAATCTTTCTACCATTATTCTTTTATATATATATATATATCTGTTATAGAGAGAGAAAAAGGGTAAGAGTAAGAGAGAGAGAGAGAGAGAGAGAGTAGAAAATGATGGGGATTCGAAATTGGAGACTGTGTTTGGTTTGGTTTGGTGCTTCTTATTAAACAACAAAAGGAAAATTACAAATTGAAAAAGAGGACACTCGTTTGACGTGAACTTTCCTTTCCTTCCTTTCTTTTATCTTTTGTTTAACATTTACATTACCCTATGACCAATAATTTAATATTTTCCTTGACCAACATACCCTTCTAGGCTTCTCCTCCAAGATTCTCCCTCTTCAAATAACCATGCAATATTCATTGTATTTTGTAATTTTTTCTCTAATAGATTATTAGTGGAGGACCAACATACCTCATTGATCATGCGATTTACGAGTAATTATGCTTATTCCCGAGTTTATTTTAATGCATTGGATTTGTATATCATGAGGGAATCAATCGTTCTAGCTAGCTAGGGTTTTCGCATTACTAAAACATATTGCAAGTTTAACAATTTTTAGGTTACAATATTAGCAAAAATTCTTCAACCCAAGACAAATACTGCGGAATAGTTGTGGAAGGTGAGTAGCAAACTGACTAGTTGTACTGTGTCAATGGCTTGGCATGTATCAATTGATCAATTGTATTTTGTCAATCAATTATTAGTTGTATTGTGCCTATCGACGATTTTTTGTCATATTAAAGGAGAAGTTCTACAACGTTGGACAAATTTTGTAAGCAATCGGTATATTAACTGCATCCTGTCAATCGATTGACTGCTCCACATCCAGTCAAGTTTATCCTTTTTATACTACGTGCGTTAGAGAAAACCCTACATTAACTATCTCACTTGTATTAGACAATGCAAGTCCAATGTCAAAATTAATCTGAGAACTGTTTGAATATATATGACTAGACATGATCTGGGCATACATACATGCAAGCAATGCTATGCATCTTAGGGTTGCATTAAATGATATGGTACTACCACTAACACTAAAGCAGATTTGCAGATTGCAGAAGCTAGCAGAATGAGCAGAAGAAGCAGAATCATCAGAACTACCATAGGAGGCACTACACAAGCTGAGGCCTAACAAAAGCGAAAGCGCATATATATATATATATATATATATATATATGGAAATGCCTCTACAGCTTATAGCTTAGTAACTAATTAAAAACTAGTAACCGATGAGACCATGCAAAGGATGGTGGGGAGAGAGAGGGGTAGTATTGTCATTTAACAAAGACAAGGGGTACAGTAGTACTCCTGCACCATCTTCCTCCTCCCTTTGCGTAATTTTTAAGTGGGTGCGAGCGGGATCGATTGTCAGTACAAAGCCAGTGTATGAGAGAGAAGGAAAGAGTTAGAGAGAGAGAGAGGAGAGAGAAGGAAGAGGGTCACGGGTTTGTCTTGAAAGGCCCTTATTTTACAGTCCTAGTCAGACGGAGACATATTCTCTCTCACACATAACATAACCGAGGAGGGAAGCAAAAATTTTACAGTAATTTTAGAGAGATTATATATTTAACAGAAAATTCTATTTTAATCTTTGTCTAAGATTACTTTTTGAATAAAACTTGTTTAAGATTAAAAATTAATTCTAATCCTTGGCATTTAATTGTAATTTTTGAATATTAAATAGGTTGTGATAATTATTGAGATTTTTGATTGTGCATAAATTTCTCCATATTTATGTATATGCATATTACGTACATATGTATGTTTAGATATTATAGTTACGTATCGATACATTTGTACTGAAAATTATGTACTAATGCATTTATACCGAAAGTTATGTACTAATACATTTGTACCGAAACTTACGTACCGATAATTCTATACCTATGAGTAAAATAAGGTACCTAAAGTTATGTACTGATACATTCGTACCGATACTTCCGAACCTATAAATAAAATAAGGTACTGAAAGTTATGTATAAATTGTTTTTGTTTTGTTTTGAGTTTTTTTAATAATAAGAATTTGAATTTTTATTAAATTTGTATCTATTAATATGATTGGAGCACAAAAAGAAATACATTTATTATGGATGGGTAAAGAATTTCGAATGGTAACATAAATAATAGATGTGCTATAATTACTAATACGGTAAGTTTTAACACATCACATAATTTATTAGTAACACATCACAAATTTACAAATATGTGCTATTATAGATGTGCTATTATTTTTTATTAGTAACACATCACATAATTTACAAATATGATATAAAAAAGTAAGTATACTATCAGGGAAAGAGACCCTCTCCAAATCCCTTCCTCTTAATCCACCAAATATGGAGATTTGTGCTGTTGAAATTTGATCCAACAACTACAAACAGAGAGCCACTTTAAAAGCTATAATAACTTTAGCCGTTTGATCAAATTTTAACAACACCGATCCCTTAATTTGGTGAATTAGGAGAAAGAGATCCCAAGAAGATGCCTTCCCATTAGCACTCAAAGTTTTATAATATCACATATATCATTTCTAAATTATTATTATTTTCCAATAAATATTATAAACAAAAGAAACGGAAAAAACAAAAAACGAAAAGCAAAATAAACACAGTATTACTACTGCTACTAGTACCACCACAACCATTCCCTTTTCTCCAACATTTTTATCCCCCCAAGCTTCTCACACACACTCACAACAGACATTCATTCCCTCTCTCTCTCTCTCTCTCTCTCTATCTGTGTCTTCATTTCCTCATCAGATCTTCTCTCCTCTTTCCTTATCTCTCTAAAGTTTTGAAAGCTTTTTCAATGGCGTTGATGATAGACAACTGCGAGGGCATACTGCTCTCTCTGGACTCCCACAAGTCGGTCCCGGCGCCGTTCCTGACCAAAACCTACCAGCTCGTCGACGACCCCGCTACCGACCACATCGTCTCGTGGGGCGACGACGACACGACCTTCGTCGTCTGGCGCCCTCCCGAGTTCGCCCGCGACCTCCTCCCCAACTACTTCAAGCACAACAACTTCTCAAGCTTCGTCCGCCAGCTCAACACCTATGTAATCATCTCATCTCATAAAATCTCTTCACATAATAGTAATCTTACGAATTTGTTTATA